TTCACGTTCAATGTTCTATTCGCTAATTTCCTACTCACAAATGCGCAGCCAAGCTCCAGTAGTATGTTGTCATCGAAAAATTCCAAAGATCATCAGCATGGAGATGATCTCTATCAACTCGAGGAGTTGATTGTGGAGCTACTGAGAGTCAAAGATGAAATCGCACCTAAAGTGGAATACGACGAACAGGTAATTGAAGTAACTCATTTGAAATTTATCCCATCCTTCTTCATCCTTACTTTCAGATTCAATTCAAATGATTTTTTTGCTTTCGATATTCTTCAATCCACTTCAACATACAATGAGCATTTTCCACATCATTCGGTTTGCATAAGAGTCGCGTCGTCGTTTGCATTACTTCAGCAAATGTTGTTTTATTGCTGGCTGNTGCATTGCAAGTGAACCAGAGCTCAATTAGAAGTGATAATAGAATAGCAGAAATGCTGAAAATGAATGTCATCCCAATCAGTGCATTATTGAAATCTTTCATTATTTGTCAATAATGCACTGATTATCAATGAACCTAACCGCTTCAAATTCAAATGTAACCTCTCAACATGAGAAGATTTGCAGTGCTCCATCGATATTTTTCTTCACAAAATTGAATTCGTCTTTTCAGATTCAGTTCCTAAAATTATTGTTTCTGTACTGAAGCTTAAAATTTTTGGTTTTGAACCCATCGCTCAGTTTCCTTAATGTTACAGTGTCCTCATGGAAAGTCTTCACTGTTCCTCTTCCTCTCAAGCTTTCCTCAAGTGTGTTGCCTGCTACACTTACATTCAAATAACTGGTGCACTGATGAATCATAAGCACCATTCAGACTTAAGTAAAAACTTAAATGAAAATCATTAACTTAAAGTTTCACATCAGTTTGATTGGTTTTTGGTGCGAAAGTGTAAGATGTTCAAAATTTATCCATTTGAAGAGAAAAAAGTAATAAAATTAATTCGTTCGTTCGCTAATCTAATCGTTGACGTAACAGAGTCACACTAATTACCTCTGAGAAATGATTGCTTAAATTTGATTTAGTGCAGTCGCTAGTAATAATAATAATGACTGATACAAAAGACGTTTTGCAGAAAGAACTCAACATACAATGAATTAATCACTCAAATTGACAGCAAAATTTGACTATAAAATGATTTGAGAGAAATTTTTTGCGCACTTTCATTTTCATTTTCAATCGCTTCACTCATTGATCCCGTAATCGTTGAGAAGCAATTTGCAGCGAACTTTATAAACTTGGAACCCGTTCGGCTTGTTCAAGTTGTGTTGATTGCGCTTATACTCGGTGATTCCTAGTGTAATCACATACTAGATTCAAGTGATGAAAAAAATCGCCTTCATGCGATTTTCCCTTCAAAAAATGCGAAACATTCCATTTCGTAAGAACTTGTTCCAATGGAAGAAGTAAACATGTCGCCGTATGAGTGATTTTTTCTGCAGTCATATTACTCCAAATTCCTCAGTGATTATCGAAATGAACAACTTTATGTCGTGCAAACGTTGATATGCTCTGATTTGCAGTGCACCTCCGTACAGCAACTAGCTGACGTTCATTTCACGCTTACCAGTTTATTCATTGTTTGTTTTTCTTTTTGTTTGCATTCGTAAGCAATTTCCGTAGTGTTCACACTCATTGTCAGTGTGCATCTGTTCATTCAAATTCCCTGAATGTAGTGAGTCAAAAAAATTTCATAAGTAAGTGATCCTTCGTTGATAACGTAAACGAAATGCGATTCAGTCTAACAGAACATTCGAATAGACACTGTTGAAGCATTTAATTAACAAAGGAAACGTCATAAACTGTGTAATGTACTGAAACTATGTAATCAAAACATCCACCGAGCCCTCTTGTTTGAATCGCATGCAAGTTTTATGCATAAACAATTAATGCATTTTATTGATCTTGAGCACTAGAAGAAACGCGAGAAAGTATGAGACTGTTTAAGAGACTGCCAGAGTTTTGACTTTACAACACTTTCATCGGAAACCTTTACATTGGACAGATTTTGAAAGCATGGAATAATGAAACCGTATCAGTGAATCCATAGAATCGTTTCAAAATAAGCTTTAGCATTCCGGTAATAGTAATAATAATAATATTTTACCGTAAAATCAAATGGCAGTGGTAACAATAATATGTCACTAATGATGAATCTTTGCTATCGCATAAAAGACTTTCGACTTGGTTAAAATTTTGATTTATTGAAGTGAAGAGTGCAATCTTCTTAATGCAACACATAATACTAATCGCAACAACCATCAGTGCGTGAGCCATTGTTCGCACTGCGAGACTATAGAAGAAGAATGGTGAGTTGTACGATTAATAATAGCTCGTAAATTATTTAAAAATAATGATCTATCATAAACTATTCACAAACAGCGCTACCTATTGTAACGTTTCCAACAATAACGAGTTTACTGTGACAGAACATTTTGTTTGAACTGACGGAATGGTTGAAACGAATGTTCGAAACATTAGGCACGAATAGAAACAATACCATATCAGGTTACCATCTTGAATTATTTCGATTCTACAATTTTACTGTTAATAATTCGTCGTAATTCCTCGTGAAAAGAATGGGGATTTCATGTCATCAATAATGTAGGATGGAATCAATGGCATTGTTGTGTGAGCGAGGTTGAATGTTTGAAGGATCGATGATTAAAATTCGTATCTTATCAGCAATCGAAATTATCAGCCATCCACTGATCAATTCATTTGTTTTGACGCTAACCCTTGCTTTCGCTCTCCGCCACCAATGTAAAAAAAAAACGATAAAAGGAATTAAGCCGGCTCCTTTCTCTGCCAGATTGTCATATTGCATTCTGAGGAATTGGGGAAACAGAAAGAAATTTTATTAAATTTTCAATGCTGGTCATTGGTTTTTTCTTGAAATCTATCATTCGATAATCGTAAACATCGATCTAGCGATGTCACTGGACACTGATAGTGTCAAACTGCGCACGATTATGTCTTCAAATCTGCTTTGATTACGGTTTTTGCTTTATTGGATGATTAATGTCTGATACAATTCATTAATACTTGTATAACTAAGATTAAACAAAGTGGTGCATTAGGTCAGTGCATATAACAGATGTGATCGTATAAAAATGAGACTGTGACTGTTGTATTTACAAAAAGCAATCTTGCAAAATCATACAGTCTATAGCAGATTAACAAAAAATATTCCTTCAAAAACCGTTGGTACATTCATGCAAAAAAATTGTCGATACGCATATATACAGTCAGATTCCACTGGAATGGTCGTGTAAAATATTTTGCTGTGATCCACACATAGATAAGTCATGTAAAACGTGCATGTCTGAAGTGAGCGAATAGTTTTCCCTTGCAGAAAAAGATCGCCTGATCGAGCTATTTTTACTCCAAAACGTATGTATCGCGAGGAATGAATGTCGTCTTGACTTATTCCGATTTACTTCTTCATGCCATAGAAGAATTCAAACCTTATAAAAACGGTCATTTACCGTGAAGAAATAATTGTGGAATTTCAAAAATTCATTAGCAATTCATATTGGTCGTTGAATAGCATAGAATAATACCTTCCATACCATTGTCACTGCATTGTACGGTGCTAATAAACGCTATCAGATAAGAAACATGCAAATGCCAGGCGACTGTCCGTCCAGCTCATATTTCGGTGTCTATTGATATTGTTAAGAAAATCCTCGATAAAATTTATTGCCGATTGTCACAATAATGGCGTCAGACACTCGAATGGCAATTCGTCAATAAGTTTAACAATTTTTGTCGAAACATTCCCGCCTTGAATGGTAACCGTGAATAATGTTATTCTTCTCAGCCATGGGTCCTTGAGTAATCAGTAAGAATCCANTTAACCTGGTAAGAGTTGATGAGAATGTTCAAATGCAATAGCCTCTTCCCTCGCCTAGTGCCAGTTTGACGTCCTTTTAGTAAATTTGAATGCAACTGATTTCTTATGCAAACGAAACTTTCAAGTGTCATCTAAGAATTTGCTCTCTGCATGAAACTAATCAGCTCACTCGAGAAATATGTAACCTAATAGCAAAATTATGAAGCTGTTGTATTTCAACTCGAATCTGCCCATTCCCTTCCAGTGGAGAGATCAGTTCGAAACGGCAGAATTTCAGTTTTGAAATCGAATGGTGCTATGGAAACGGTAACAATTATATCAGCGCCATATCGCTGATAATGTCATCGAACGTTTAGAAAGTAAAAGTGTTTAGAAAATTATATCGTTATGATATTCTGCACCACAATCGAATAGATAAGTGATAGCCTTCGTCCAAAATCTAACACTGATAGTGAGTTGATCAATAAAAATTTCTGATTTTTTCTGCAAAATTTGATGTAGTTGGATTGGAGTGGTGTGTGGCTTTTCGTAAAGCAAGTGAAAGTATTTCTTTATCCGAAATGTGCTAATTAAAAACTTTATTTGAATTTTCTTTTTCATCTTACTTGAACACAGGAGAGCTGGCTGCTTCATTCTGTTTCCTATTAATCGCAGATGTTCAGCAGATGTCATTCAATAAATTTTGCTTCGCCATCGAAAAATCTCAAAAATTCTTGCTGAAAATTCGAAGAAAAGAATCACTGTTTTCAGAACTTTTCCCAAGAATGTAAATTTAAACGATTCCAGCTGATTTCCTAAATGAACCGTTTATCAAAGAACCATTCTTTGCGTGTGATGGCTTGTAGACGAAAGGAATTTAACATCCGAGTGTAGTTGTTTATGGCAATCAATCATGTTATCTTTAATTTAGAGCAAGAATGATTTCAGTTCTGCGTCAGTCTCCACTTTTCACTTCAACGGACAAAACGTCCAACATTTTCATTATTTTATCAATTTGAACGAGTTATTCAGTGGAAATGTTCATTTAATGACGAATGACTGTCAGATTTCCATTTCTGAGGTTTGACTGATGTGAGAATATTTGAAATTTGCCATATTTCAGCTACCACTCATGAGAAATTTGCGTTTTTTTTCGACAAAATGCCTTCGCAGGTTGAAAGGCCCCTTCATGTGATTTGAACTTTTTTNTTTTTTGCGCAGCACAGATAACATCAAATGCAAATTGCTGTGCTTGATTCAAACGTAATTAATGTTGCCCACTGATTGCACAATCATTGTACGAAGCAGAAAGAACATAAATCATCATCTATGCATGTTGTTACGCGCCGTTATAGTTTACAATCGTTCCAAATAAACTTTTAAACATTCTTTCATCACTCTTCAACCACTGTTTAACATCACAATTACAAAATGGAAAGCAACTTTGATGACTGACAATTTCGAATAGAAAAATATTGCTCGGTATCGATTAATTCAACAATAAAACTTTACGATCTTGGAGATATAGTAATGAAAGTTGCAACTGTGAAATATAGTATGCAATAGTGCAAGTAGTGAAAAAAATTGGTGAATTCTTACTTCCTTTCTTTTTCGCTGAAGTCAAAACAAATGTGTTCAAGAAAGAGGAAGATAAATGAAACAAGCACGTTTTCTTTGGGCAACTTTCAGGGCTTTTAACACTCCCCCAAAGCGCACAATATTCGTTCCAATGAGCGAATGCTATTTAACTTTGAATTTTTCCAAGCTCTCAGCCATCCGATGCGTTTATCTAAAGTTAAAAGAATTCTAGCTTCATTCCTTTCAATACCTACCAAAACATGTATTATACAAGCACAGCTAAAGATCTAAGCACGAGAATTGGATCTTCTCAAAAGTTGTCTTGTAATTCAAGAGTTAACATTTAAGGGTGATGATGGTGCTGAATATGATAATGAATGGGCTGTTCAAGTGATTGGCGGTGAGGTCGAGGCCAGAAAAATTGCACGATCACTTGGATACACCTATGCTGGACCGGTTAGTGGAACCATCACTTTATAACCTCACTTACAATTTACAAAAACCCGCAGAAATACATATAGAACCTCTTTACATGACGCACACCAACAAGCCTTCAACGGAAAGGCGTTTCGACAGAGGATATTGTATATCTCGCAAGACAGATAAATGTTCATACAAAAACACCGTCAAATCCCTTATAAATGCAGAGTTAGTGTTTAATGGTGACATATGAAATGCATTAATAGCTTGCAATCGACACTTCCTTGCAGCTGTTTAAGTAGTTTACTGAAAGATGTTCTATCAGTTCAATTTTGCTAGATTGAATTGATCATATGCTTGGAATTATCCATCGAAACAGAATTCTCGATGAAAAACTATTAGGGATTGCTGGACAAACATTCAAAANAGCAGCGCAAGAAGTACAAACAAAAAAATTAATAAAGACGAAGTTCAAAAACTTTCGTTGTGAAGCTTTAAAATGTCCTAGTTTGATAATGTTGAATGTGCTAATCAAGGAGTGACCGAACGAGTTTACTGAGGATATCAGTGAATGAATCAGTTTTCTAGGTTCGTGGTTTCGATGACACATATGTGTTTCAAGCAAAGGATCGAAGGCGAACTAAGCGATCTGCCGAAAAACTGACGAGTAAACTTCGCAGTAACCACCGTGTACGGCGAACTGCGTTTGTTTCTGAAAGTAAACTGCAACACAGATCAAAATTGAAAAAATTTTGTATTTAGCCTATGAAAAGACAAATATCACGGAAATTTTCAATCAGTTTGATTTTCCTTCTCAACAAAACTGAATGAAGTTTGATAAAATTGCAGTTAACCTTTTAAATTTCTTTTATTGTGAATACTGACCAGTGAAAAAGCTCAATTTTGAATCGATCTGACATCTCATTGTTCTTCGAATCAAATTTATTTTATGAGTAATTTTTCGGATATAAGTATTTCTTTCGTGATGAGTGATATCTTAGTAACTGACCCTCTCTGTCCACTCGATTTTGCATTATATGCCTCAAGCTGTGAAAAGGGCGTAAATGACGAGAGAAACATCCTTAAGGCTTATTGAGCTCGAAATATTGGTTTATGGGTTTTATTCATATTATCCGAGGCGACTATGTTCATTCCCACTTAATGTATTTCATTTTGCACCTAATAAGAGAATAGTAAGAAAAATGAATAGATGGGATTATTTTATTGCAAGCTGTTGTTGCCATAGAATCCATCAATAAAAAGAAGGAGGGGGGAACTCCTATGATAATTTTCGGACAAACACCGTAGAATTACTGAACAGAATTTCGAACTTAGTTATCTATATCAGTGACGGGTTTCCTGCTGAAACCAACGGTAATACCGCCTCTGATAATGGAGCTTACGGAATTGTCATTTTTTGGTATATATAAAATGAAGTGCACAAACGATCGTGAAACCTCGGTTATATCACATGGGCTGTATGCAACTTGGAGGTCGAATCGAGGCGAGAAAATTCATGGTTTTGCGTGCGGGATTTTATAGTGGATTCTTTCATTAGATACAGAATGAAACATGTTAAGTGCAAAAAAAAAAAATTATTGCCTTATCGAAATATAGTGATTCACACTATATCGAACTTCCCCTGATCAACCCCACCCAGTTACGACGCTTATTGCTCACATGAAAACAGAATTTAGCCAACTTCAAAATAGCTTGATGAAGTATTATCACACAACTTAGTGAATATTCTTCACCTATGATGCATCATTTATTAGTGTCCATTTATGGAATCAATTCTAATTTAAGGTTTTATGGGCTGAGCAACAACGCATTAAGAAACGATTGAAGCGAACCAGCAAATCTGACCATCTTTTCAACGATCCACTTTGGCCAGCACAATGGCAATTGGTAACATTCACCTGAATTTCTCAGCTTTTTTTCTCAGTTAGCAGTTCTCAGTTGAGTTCCGATTTTTGAGCCGCAATTTTCGATTTAGAAAAAAACAAAAAGGGGTATGAAATAAGCATTCATTCACATGAAATGGACAGGCACCTTCCTCTAATATCTGTTGTTTGTTTGGTTGCAAAGTTTTTGTACTCTTTATACGTGAACAGTCCAAGATGCTCAAGATAAGCAAGGAGATTGTAACATATGTTGGTGTGAAAATGATCATTTCTATGGGCAAGCAAACATTAAAAAAAAACTGAACATGCATTAATTATCATAAGAAATATTGTTTTCTTAGTGAATGGCCAAAAATCTCAAACATTTCACACAATAATAATATTATAGCAGCATTTTTTGCGCATTTTGAGTGACATATTGCGCCGTGTCTTTTGATAGCATTTGTAGCTTGAATAGATAAAAGTCTTCGATCGATAGTGATGTTTACTGGAGAAGAAAAATGAAAACAAAAACTTTATAGCACAGACAATCGTGCATCTTCATTGTTTGATGACGCTACAGTCAGCAATTGTAGTCGTTTCAAAGTACAATACACAATCACCATGCAGAGAAAAATTCATGTCGTGATGAATTCTTGAACGTTTTGCGAAATTCATCCATTGCAAATCTCAAGAAGAGCCAAAATTGAATGCAACAAAACAAAAGAAATTTTTCTTCGATCGTTGAAAGGTGCTGATCATGAAACTGCCTGAGTGTTTTGGATGTGTTTAGCATGATTCTCGAAACAAAAGTGGCGATATGAAAACTGACATGAACGTTATCGGCGCATGGAAACTCGGCTATACAGGAAAAGGAGTTGTTGTCACGATTTTGGTCAGTTTCTTTTAATGGACCGAATTATAGGAACCTTTTGTATTGTTTTGCATTTAGCACATATGCATAATTCAAATACGCGAATTACTTCGAGTGCGTACCAAAATTCAGTAGAAATTTGCAGCGAATTGATTTCAGGAAACCTGATTCAATTGTACATTGACATAGACTAAGCAGACACAACCCCAAACATCTTAACGATGTCTCTGTCAATTCAAACTAGTTCATAATCACCTGATTGTACCAGCAGGTTGCGCGATTTGCGAAAAAAAGCTAGTGTCTTTGACGTGATCAGAGTCAGTTTGGATGAATGATATTATGATTATTTGGTCACTCAACATTATTTCAGGATGACGGAATTCAATACAATCACACGGATCTCAAAGCTAATTATGTGAGCACTCCTTTTTTTTTCAGAATTAGTCTCATAAATACCATCACAAGAGCATTCCGATTCATTTTAATCCCTCAGAAAGAACAGTTCTCGTTCATTCATTGTAAGCAAATTTCCCTACCACACTAATCACTTCCGTTCTATTGGATGAAATAATCACGCACCTCTATCACTTGCAAATGTCTGTTTCGAGAGTGGAAATCGTTCGAAAAAATCTAATTGATATGAATATGAACCTCTCTCTTGATCGCTCCAATATATCACGGGACCCGAAAGTCAATCCAAAATCGAATTTTTCAATGAAATATCATCGGTTGTCGAATTTCTTCCTTCATTTTTATGACGTAATTGTGCATTTAAACAGCAATAAGAGCGATTATATCGCAGTCAAAAACTAATTATCTGTTCAAGCACTACGGCGAGCAAGTTCATGTTTTTATGGATGATGAATGAGCGAGGTAACAGTGTGTAGACATCAGGAAGTGAGAGGGAAATTATGGAAAAACAACTATTAAATTTTTGACGACGACAGTTTCAAAGGGGTGTTTTCAGGATCCGAAAGCATCTTACGACTTGAATGACGATGATCCAGATCCAATGCCGACTTTCGATGATCTTAACAAGTTTGTGCGTTTGACATTTCGCACTTTCACTTGCATACTACAAAAAGTTTTCTTTTGGGATTGCGAAAATTTCCGCTCTCGTTGCTGATTTTGTCGTTCGTAGGCAGAGCAGGCTAAAATCAGATCCAGTTTCATTTATGAATAGGCCAGTTATTGCGAATTTCGCACCAAACCCATATTGTTTGGCACTTCTTTTACACAATGAACAATGAAAAGAATGCTGAAAAGTAAACACTTTCATAATTTTACGTTCATTCAGTAATGTCACTTTGAGTTGTTTTCAAAACTTTTTGCTGATATACTAACAAACTTCTGAAGCGTTTCACTCAAAGTAGATTAAGGCGCTATTGAGTTTCGTTACGCACCAAATGCTTCTGATTGTTTGCCTAACGTTGTTTTTATGAACCACAATAGTGTTCATCAGTCGTACACACTTACTGTGACCTCATATCAGTTAACAACACATTGGAATCTATGAAACGTTCAACTGTCAACATAGTGAAGAGAGAATTTCTCAATTCAACTTGCCGAGTGAGGACTTGTAGGCTCAGAGCTTAAACCAGATTCGATGAAACGGTCGTCCCACAGATAATTCACGATATTATTTCAAGGCATGGAACCAGGTGTGCTGGTGAAATAGTGATGGCACCGAATAATTCGTTTTGTGGTGTTGGAGTTGCTTACGGTGCTTCAATTGGAGGTGATTTTTACACTGGCCTGATTTTAAAAACTGTAAAATCGGTTTATACAGTCGGCGAAGATGAAAATTGATATCTCCCGTTCCGTTTCAGATTCGTTCTCATCAATTGAATTGGACTTGAGAGAATCAAAATTTTTGTCACTTTTTTTGAATGTTTTGAACGAAATTCACAATTGTTGTTTGTTTCGTTAGCATCGATCGTGCATTAGAATCAGTTTGAAGGCGTTCGCATGCTGGACGGCAAAATAACGGATCGCGTTGAGGGAGAAGCGTTGAGTTTCAATCATGATCACATTGATATCTATTCGGCCAGCTGGGGACCTAACGATGATGGTAAAACGGTTGAAGGACCAGGCCGACTAGCTCAGGCAGCCATTCTTAAAGGTATTCGTCAGGTGAGATTTTCTATGCTCAGTTAAACAGAAATCTATGACAAACGTCATTTCAAGACGAATCCTTTAGCTTGAGAATGACGCAAGCATTGACGCTCAAATACAACTGTTAAAAGCGATTCACTGCATGATTTGCTGAGAAAATTCGACTTTTTGATCACTTGAACTGAATTATAGCTAATTAGAAACCTCATGACTATTAGATGGAGTAAAATCTCAATTTCTATTAATTCAGTAACTGAAGAGTTGTTTTCATCATCTCCGCATTCACGATCAGATCAGTTTGAGAGTGAGCGTATTAACTGAGCAATTTCAAGATGAGTTGAACAAATCATAAGGGAGCAAATCATTAGACGTGGTGAATTTTTAAGGGACGAAAAGGTAAAGGTGCCATTTATGTGTGGGCTTCTGGAAATGGTGGTTTAAAAGATGACGATTGCGACTGTGATGGTTATACGGATAGCGTATTTACGTTTTCGGTTTCAAGCGCTGCCGAGGACGGTTCATTTCCGTGGTACGGTGAGAAATGTGCCTCTACACTGACAAGCACCTATTCAACTGGTACGAATAATAGACGCATGATTGTAAGTTGAAAATTCATGAAATAAACCCGAAATCATTATGACAGTGGTATCAAAATTGTTTGTAGCATCAACAGTTAACTGCTGTCAATTAACATATTGATTATTCTGTTAACTGTCAATTAACATCAACAGTTAACATATTTGCTTTGATTATTCTGTTCCTTTCTGGAGTCTTATTCTCGTTGTTTGAGTTCTTTTTGGAGTCTTCTTCGTTTCATGTGTTTCTAACAAAATGCTGATTTTCATTAGATGACAACCGATATTGGTAACAAATGCGCTCGTGATCATTCAGGAACGTCAGCATCCGCACCAATGGCCGCTGGCATCATAGCGTTGGCTCTTGAAGCAAAGTACGTTTCGTTGAATTTACGTTTACCACATTTTCTATCGGTTTTTTAAACTTATAACTTACAATTGGTTATGAACTCACCCTAGCACATCGAAACGTGCATTTTTGAAGAATTATTTTGATTCATTCGAATGCACTTTGTTGCGTTCAAATGTTATCATGTGCCTTCTTTTACGACTCAAAATACTGCGTAAGCAGAGCATTCATAATGGTTTGGTATTCATTTTATTTGTTTCATTTGACTTTATTGACATCGTAATGGTGATAAATAAACACTGAAGAGTGTATGCAATTGATGGTGAAGAACACTTATTTTGATTATATTATACGTTACGAAAATGTGATGCAGATGATACGATTTCATCATATTCAATATCATTAATTATGTTCATTATCAGTAAATCATATGACATTCATTGATCCATTTCGAAAGCACCTTGAAGATTGCATTCGATAGTGCATTTTGTGAACCATTCACGATGGAACGAATGAACGGTTCAGCAAAATCATCGGTATTGCTTAGATTAGCAACAATAGAGATATTGACAATGATGAAGGAATGTTCTTGCAGCCCATCGTTAACTTGGCGTGACGTGCAGCATATTGCCGTTTGGACTGCGGAACCGGCTCCATTGCTTCATAATAACGATGGGTGGGTAAAGAATGCAGCCGGACTCTATGTGAATTCAAGATTTGGATTTGGTACCGACTAACCTTGTCCTCTTAAATTCCTAAATGAATCAAAATTAAATTTCAGTGAATTCGAAGAACCCTACATCTAAAAGATTCTCGAAATAATCGTCTCTTATTCGCACATCAACAAATTCTGAGTATTGTGTATATGATCTCCATTATGTTTATGACCTCTGTTCATGTATAAGACCTTTGTACCTGCATTATTTTATCAGTGCAACACTACAGGAATGATGAACGCCCTCGGATTTGTTACCGCAGCAAAAAATTGGGTGAATGTACCAAAACAACGTATCTGCACGACAATATTTCCTACTTTTACAAAACGGTTTGTCTTCGAACCGCACTGATGAGATGACTTTTGGATATTTGTATTTTCTCGATAAAATCGCATCGTCTTGAAGACTCAATAAGTAAGCTTACCAGTGCATTAATTTAATGCCTGATTGATGTTTCAGTTCAATAAGTGATACGAATGGAGCGATTATAAACTTTCGTACTGACGGATGTGAGGGTCAAACGAATGAGATCAATTATCTTGAACATCTTCAGTTGGTACTGGATATCGCTTATCCAGTTCGAGGGCATTTATCAATTTATTTGGTCTCGCCACAAGGTTAGAGATGAATTATTGTGGTTAGAGATGATGATATAAGGACATGTATTAATAGCTCATTTGTATAGCAACATTTTTCAGTTCTCTACGAATTATTCAACTGAACAGTCGCTAAATCATTGTAAATATTTATTATTATATTGTAAAATGGCAGTAGCTTTTCTGCTTAAAAGGTTTCCGTCAAACTGCGCTCATATCTTGACTTATGTTGAAAGGTTTCCCGTTCCAGGTACAGTAACTCAACTTCTCAAAGTGAGGCGTGAGGATAAATCTCCAAATGGTTTTCGGCATTGGCCGTTCATGTCTGTACATACGTGGGGTGAAAACCCGAAAGGTTTGTGGCAATTGGAGGTCTATGACAAGGTATTGTATCAGTGCAATAGTATCCTTTCGAATGCCTTTAAAGACTGAAGTGTCGGCAAAGATCATGATTCGATCAATCGAGTAAAAAGCTCTCGGCTGGTAATTTCGATTTCTGCTCGCAACTCAAAAACAGAACTATACTTCGAACCATACTGTGGTAGTAAAAATTCATTGGCATATATGATTGTTACTGATAATAATAAATTTGAAGAGTGGACGTATAACCGGTATCAACGGTCTTATCAACAACATAACACTAATAATTTATGGCACTATCGATAAACCAGCACATTATAAAAAACCCAGAAAATATGATATGCACTACAATGAAGTGACTGACCATCGAAGGAGCATCGATGTGCATTTTTGCATTCTTCTGTTTCAAGTCTAATCCCTATTTATTTCTTTTTTTCACGCTTTCGATCAACTCAATTTCAGTGTTCAGAAAATCGACAGTCGTCTGAATTTTTGATGAAGTCATGTTCAGAAATCGAAAGCATGCTTATTGTTAAATAAAAACACTCCCCTCTCAGTTCAGTTTCGTTTTTCAAAACTAATCCATACCGTAATTGAGAGGATGACTGAAATACGCCTTCAGGAAAACACAAATTTATGGTTAGGCCGAGTGAAACGGATGATAAAAGAGAAAGAACTGTTGCTGGAACATCCAGAACGAGTGGATAATGCACTTCGATTTCTTGATGCCTTGAATCAACGCCACAAACGCAATACTACAATACAAGCGCACTATATTTCTACATTCATATCACGATGAAACGAACACTTGGATTTCATCAATATCTTATTATTTATTTATAACATTCACATCATTATTTTCCTCTTTTAGTTGGTCAGTTGCATCAGAGGAGTTCCAGACGAAATGAAAAATTACATGGCTCACAGTCGAGAATCAATCGAAAATTTTGTTGACTGTTCTGTTGCGTAGATCAAACAGAGCTTCACAATTCGCAATAAATTCAGTCAAACGTATCTTGCACAATTACTGATAAGCGATTCATCAAAAATTCAATAGATTATCTCACATACCTCCTATATAATGAATGGAAACAATTATTTCGAGTGACTCTCCCTTTGTATGCTACATTTATTAATTTAACTTATTCCAGCTTCTCATTGTAAAATCTTGATGTGAACGGTCTTTGGGAAGTCATATATGAAATAATCTTTCGAAACAATTTATAAGCATTGAAGACAGCGCACGCATGTAGATAAGCAGCATCGTAGCTGGCTATAGGAGCTTAGATCACTGGAGTCGTAGACAAAGATCTCTATTAAGCGCAGAATTTTTTCTCCAGCGCGTTATGATTTCTCCAGCGTTATGACAAGTCTGTTGAGTGTTATGATTAACACCAAAGCGACAGAATAATAATTCAGAATTAATCGTTATTAAAGAGACTGCTCAGATTTGTCTCTGTGCGTTGACTGTGAAATGCAGTTTCATAATAAAATGTATCATCTAGCATTGCTCGTGGGTAGTTCTTTGAAGCAAAATTTTAATGGTCGACGGTACCTCTTGTATCAGTTTCCTATATTCTGATTGGATTGATTGAGGGGTTTCATGCGATATTCATTCTCTGGATATGACACGTCAAACTGATTAAGCTTTAAAAGCCATCCGCAGCCTTGAATTGTTTCAGAAATTTTCCGAATGCACTGCCGATGGAGTTTCGATGTATATTCCAATAATGGCTATCGATGTTCAGCGCAAACGAGTGCTAATTTTCGCCAGATTTTTGTGTTGTTATCGTTACATTCGAATTGTGGCTAGCTGACTGACACGTTACAGACTAGCGAATACATAGGAAATACGGGTGATTAAGACTGGTATTAATCAAAAGCGATATCGAGCATATTTTTGTATGCTGGCTGTTGCATGTGGACAATGATTCAGAAATGGAAGAGAAACGCTTTGGACGTCAACATAATGAACAAAATTGAATCGTTAACGTCAATGATTCAAATTTCAATAAATTTTGTTTCAAAATTTCGTTTTATTTGGGTATTCAATGTTGTTCACAAATATTGTGTTTGATACATATTATAAATAATCTTTATTTATAATATTTTCTTGAATAATCGGTATTGAATTGTGATATTGGTCTCTGTTGCTAGTCACTCTGCTATACATTGCGATGTGTTCATTTTGTGCTTCGTTCTATTTCTTTTTCCACTTCCTCGTTTTATTTCATTTCGGTCCTCTTTTATCATGAACGCCTTCCCCGCTGTGATCTTTATATGTACAGATACTCACTATCGTTGGATGGGTGAATAAAACTTTTATGATGATCTTTGTATGATGCGTTTATGTGTACACGTTAAGCAGGAAACCTTTATAAGTGCTGATGTGAGGGAATAATGTTTTGTTTAATTGATATAACGAATTGAGTTAAAAATTATTAAGTGGATTTGTTTAATTGAAAACAGTGCTTACAAATTTTCGAACTGAAATCTGTCTCGATTCTAGCATTAACAGGAGACTCCAATTCACGTATAGGACTGATCGGAGAACATTGAATAGTGCACGGATTGGTTGATATTTGAGTCATGATGAAGATGAAGAATCTTTCATGATATAATGGTATAACGGAACTCTTGAGTGGAAAACATTCAATTAGATACTAACTGGGAGCTGAAACGAATCTGAACTGGAAGTGTAAATTGTTTGTTGAGCAGAGGATCAGTATCAAACTTTCGTCATTGAATTAAATTAAGTTCGATAAGTTTTCATGCATGACGAGTACTTTCACTTATCTCTCGCTGACATTCTCTAACACGCGGATGAATTGCAATGTTGACGATGGGACAGATGGCATACGGCGTTATCGTCACGGTTTTAATCTGCACAGTGAATAAAAAAGTTGATGATTTTTATAACGATATTGCTTTGGATTAAAGTAAACAGCACATTGTGAAGCTCAATAACGGAAGTGATGCAAACTCTTTGCA